TCATTTTGTGTTATAAGCTAATCTGGCAACCAATCCAAAGGCCAATAGCGAATACCAGTCAATCACCTGGCTATCAGCCAATAGGGAGTATCAGCCAATCACCTGGCTATCAGCCAATAGGGAATATCAGCCAATCACCTGACTATCAGCCAATAGGAAATATTAGCTAATCACCTGACTATCAGCCAATAGGAAATATTAGCTAATCACCTGACTATCAGCCAATAGGAAATATTAGCTAATCACCTGACTATCAGCCAATAGGAAATATTAGCTAATCACCTGACTATCAGCCAATAGTGAATACCAGTCAATCACCTGACTATCAGCCAATAGGGAGTATCAGCCAATCACCTGGCTATCAGCCAATAGTAAATACCAGCCAATCACCTGGCTATCGGCCAATAGGGAATATCAGCCAATCACCTGGCTATCAGCCAATAGGGAGTATCAGCCAATCACCTGGCTATCAGCCAATAGTGAATACCAGTCAATCACCTGGCTATCAGCCAATAGGGAATATCAGCCAATCACCTGGCTATCAGCCAATAGGGAATATCAGCCAATCACCTGGCTATCAGCCAATAGTGAATACCAGCCAATCACCTGACTATCGGCCAGTAGGGAATATCAGCCAATCACCTGGCTATCAGCTAATGGAGAATACAAGCCAATCACCTGGCTATCAGCCAATAGGGAATATCAGCCAATCACCTGGCTATCAGCCAATAGTGAATACCAGCCAATCACCTGGCTATCAGCCAATAGGGAATACCAGCCAATCACATGGCTATCGGCCAATGGAGAATACAAGCCAATCACCTGGCTATCAGCCAATAGAAAATACCAGCCAATCACCTGGCTATTAGCCAATAGGGAATACTAGCCAATCACCTGGCTATCAGCCAATAGGGAATATCAGCCAATCACCTGGCTATCAGCCAATAGGAAATACCAGCCAATCACATGGCTATCAGCTAATGGAAAACACCAGCCAACCACCTGGCTATCAGCCAATAGAAAATACCAGCCAATCACATGGCTATCGGCCAATGGAGAATACTGGCCTATCACCTGGCTATCAGCCAATGGAGAATACCAGCCACTGGAGAATATCAGCCAATCACTTGGCTTTTAGCCAAAGGTAATACCAGCCAATCACCTGGCTATCAGCCAATGGGGAATACCAGCCAATCACTTGGCTATCAGCCAATAGTGAATACCAGCCAATCACTTGGCTATCAGCCAATAGGAAATACCAGCCAATCACCTGGCTATCAGCCAATGGGGAATACCAGCCAATCACTTGGCTATCAGCCAATAGTGAATACCAGCCAATTACTTGGCTATCAGCTAATGGAGAATACCATCCAATAACCTGGCTATCAGCCAATGGAGAATACCAGTCAATCACCTGGCTATCAGCCAATAGGGAATATCAGCCAATCACCTGGCTATCAGCCAATAGGGAATATCAGCCAATCACCTGACTATCGGCCAGTAGGGAATACCAGCCAATTACCTGGCTATCAGCCAGTAGTGAATACCAGCCAATCACCTGGCTATCAGCCAATGGAGAATATTGGTCAATCACTTGGCTATCAGCCAATAGGAAATACCAGCCAATCACCTGACTATCAGCCAATAGTGAATACCAGCCAATCACTTGGCTATCAGCCAATAGTGAATACCAGCCAATCACCTGGCTATCAGCCAATAGGAAATACCAGCCAATCACCTGACTATCAGCCAATAGTGAATACCAGCCAATCACTTGGCTATCAGCCAATAGGGAGTATCAGCCAATCACCTGACTATCAGCCAATAGTGAATACCAGCCAATCACTTGGCTATCAGCCAATAGGAATACCAGCCAATCACTTGGCTATCAGCCAATAGTGAATACCAGCCAATCACTTGGCTATCAGCCATAAGGAGTATCAGCCAATCACCTGACTATCAGCCAA